CACTCCTTCCCTCCCTCCTTCACTCTCTTCCCTCCCGCCCTCACTCTCTTCCCTTCCGCCCTCACTCTCTTCCCTCCCTCCCTCCCTCTCTTCCCTCCCTCACTCACTTCCCTCCCCCTCACTCTCTTCCCTCCCGCCCTCACTCTCTTCCCTCCCTCCCCCCCTCCCTCCCCACTCTCTTCCCTCCCACCTCCCTCCCTATGAATATAAAAAATATTTATTTTTAAAAAACAAAACGTTTTTGTGGTGAAATGAAAGTGGTCTTTTGGGGATGGGAATTTTTTTAATAGTGGCTCCTCCCTCCTCGTGTGTCTGTGAGTGCGTCTGTCTGTGAGTGTCTGTCTGTGGGTGTCTGTCTGTGGGTGTCTGTCTGTCTCTGTGCGTTTGTCTATGTGTCTCTGTGTGTTTACGTTTCGTGGATTTCTTTCTAATCATCGTGATTTTTAATTGATTCATTATTTTTTCAATTAAAATGATCACTCATTCAAATAAAATTGGCGGGCGTTATTTTTCGCCAGCAAAAAAAACCATACAATCAATTCACTTCACTGTAGTATATTCCAGTCGCGAAGACGTGATAAGGCGCTATATCAAATGCAAGGATTTTTATCGTTATTATTTTTGGAATGGTTGTTAGGTCGATTGGTGGATCGCTTTTCCAGGGGAAAAATCCCTACATGCACACACAAAAAAAATTATGGTCACTGAATCCATCCATGACTGAATGTTTGTGGGACGCTGCTGTGCGTAATTGGCTGCGTCGTTTCGCCCACAAAATACACAGCCACTACACTTGACAGTATATTCTGTGAAGCACTATGAGACGTCTCGACAATTATTGTTATTATCAATCTGCCAACACAGTGAGAAACGTTTCAGGCTCCCAGTACCAGTAGTGCCCCGACAATAATAATAATATATTAACATCTGAGGTGTTTCAATAACAATAATAATGGCTTTTTTTAAAAAAAAGAAAATAGTTTTAAATGCTTAAATTGTCTTTCCCTGAGAAAGTGTTTGAATACCCTCTTTCGCACTCTCCCCTCGCTTCTCTCTCCCCCTCTCTTTTTTTTCTCTCTCCCACCCAACCCTTCCTTTCTCCCACCCACCTCTCTCTCTTTCTCTCTCTCTCTCTCTCTCTCTACCTTCCCTCCTCTTTCTGCCTCTCCCCTCCCACTCCTTTTGCCTCTCTGTCTCTCCTCCCTCTCTCGTCTCCCCATTTCTCCCTCCTGTCTATCGTCTCACCTCACTGCATGTTTGAATTCTTGGTAGATCATCCCTGGTTTGAAGATGAGCGCCTCCAGTTGGCAGGTGTAGTATCTGCTATTGGCAGCCAACTCCCCACACCCCCCCTCATCATGTAATCAGAATGTTACTGTCCTAGTAACTGTCTTTTGTGTTGGAAATAAGTCAGATTTACTAGGATGCAAAGCTGTTTGGTATTTTGCTTTCCTGTCAGAGCCTGGGATGGGTTGACGGCAGGGACATTTAGGATAATGAATACAGTAACTCTGAGTTCGGGAAATGAAACAGCTATAATAATCCTTGGATTTGATAATCCTTGGATTTGATATAGCGCCTTATCACATCTTCAAGACGTCTCAAAGCGCTTCACAGGATATACTGTAAGGTGAATTGACTGTATATCTTGTGGACGGAACGGGGCAGCCAGTTGCGCTGGGGTTGCTAAGCTTGACTCGGCCATCTCTGCTAGAAACATGTGCAAGCACACGCAACAAACACGTGGTCTTTGGCTGAAGCCATTTTTGAGAAATAGCTGTGATGTCCCGAGTCGAACTTCTCACCGTCCGGGCTCACATGTTCGAGAATGTCCGCTTGATCGGAGATGGTCAGTGCTGGTGAACTTGTATTCCAAGATGTGTCTGCAGAGAATAATGGTAGGTTGGTAAGGAAGGGTGAGATTGAAGGGATTTGGAAGACCAGGGCAAGAGTCTTAAGATTGACGTGTTGATGTTCTGGAAGTCATTGGAGTCGGGTGAGATTTGGTAATAATGGATGAGCGGAACATTGTGTGGGAAACTGCTTTAAATATCATCCTCAGTTGGAGCTTCTAGAAAGTGGAGCTCTATTGGCCTTACAAGACTATTGCGTAGTCGAGCCTGGGTGTTATGAATGTGAGTATGAGGGTCTTTGCGGCCTGCAGTGTGAGCCAGTGGCGGAGCGAGTATTAATAGAGAGCCCAGTATTATTATTTTTGTTATTATTGTGTAAACTAAACAGCAGGTCACTCTCCCTCTAACTCTGCGCGAGTGTGTGTGTGTGTGTGTAAGTATGTGTATTACCTCTTTTGCGCTTGGGTTCTCTAACTGTCTCTTATTGTGTTTCTATGCCACTAATCCTTTATTTCCTTGCATTGCTCAGGAAAAGTCATGTACCTGGTATCCTTGTGTTCCTGCACACAACTTGATCACTTTCACCAACATTGCAGCCTGACTTCACTTTAGTTGTGTGTACATTTGGCGAGTGAATAAATGATGTTCTAATGATCCCCCTGACACTTGCTATCACTTGGGAACATTGAGTTCGTGCCTTTGAAATTGAATAATCGCAAGTCCAAAATTGTTTGACTTTGGTGGTGGATCTGTTGCTGTGTGTGAAACCCAACTAGTGACAGATATACATGAATTTTGCAGTTCAAAACAATCAGCTGATCTCACAATCAAATGGCACAGATTGCATGAAAGCTATTCAGACTGAAAATCAGGGATCTTCTTCCCAGAGTGATTTGCCGTTATACACTTTTTATTATTATTTTGAGCTGTGATTGGAAATGGGGTTGTGGAGCCCTGTGGAGTATTGGTTAGAGCGTTCGCCTCGCAAGAGCACCTGGATTTGATTCCCGGGCAGGCGAAAGGTTAGGCAAGTTTCCTGACTCCACACACTTCTGTTTACCTAGCAGTAGGTAGGAACCAGGTTGTTCGATTGGCGATCGCTTTTCTGTGGGTAATATAGTCTCCTTAAAAAAAGTAATAATAATAACTTGGTCAGTCAATCCACGACTGTTTGTGGGACACTGCTGGGCACAATTGGCTCCTGCGTTTTGCCAACAAAATATACAGTTAATTCACTTTACAGTAGATTTTATTAGTAATAATAGAAATCCTGTCTTTGAAACAGTAACTGTGACATTGAAAGTCTCAAAAAATACTTCACAGTCAAGTGATACTGGAACTGCTAGGTTATACCTATCAGGAATGGCTGAACAACCTTGGACTCTTCTCTTGAAAGGGTTAGGGGTGACCTAATAGAAGTCTTTACATTTATGAAAAGGTTTGACAGGGCAGACATAAAGATCATCAGAGAATTATACAGCACAGGAGGAGGCCATTCAGCCCATCGTGTCTGTGCCGGCTCTTTGAAAAGAGTTATCCAAATCAATCCCACTCCCCCGCACTCTCCCCATAGCCCTGCAAACTTGTCCTCCCCAAATAATTATCTACTTCTCTCTTAAAAGTTGTTATCGAATCGGCTTCCACCGCCCTTTCAGGCAATGCATTCCAGATCCAAACAACTCGCTGTGTGAAAAAATTTCTCCCTACCTCCCCCTTGTTTCATTTAACAACTATTTTAAATCGGTGTCTTTGGGTCATCATAACTTCCTGATTTTTGTATTCTATGCCCCTCTTTATAAAGCCCAGTATCCTGTATGTTTTTTAACAGCTTTATCTGCCTGTTCTGCCACCTTCAAAGATTTACTTATATGACCCCCAGGTCTCTCTGTTCCTTCACCCCCTTTAAGATTGTACCATCAGCTTATATTGCCTCTCCTCATTCTTCCTCTCAAAATGCATCACTTCACATTTCTCCACATTAAACTTCATCTGCCACGTGTCTGCCCGTGTTACCAGTCTGTCTATGGCCATTTGCAGTCTGTGACTATCCTCCTCACTGTTTACTACTTTTCCAGCTTAGTATCATCTGCAAACGTGGAAATTGTACTCCCTACACCCAAGTCCAGGTCATTTATATAGATTAAAAACAGCAGTGGTCCCAATCCTGACCCCTGGGGGGGGGGGCACCACTACACACTTCCCTCCAGTCAGAAAGACAACCATTCACCACCATTCTTTGCTTTCTGTCTCCCAGACAGTTCTATATCCGCTGCCACTGTCCCTTTAATACCGGGGGCTTCTCTTTTGCTTGCAAGTCTCTTATGTGGCACTTTATCAAACGCCTTTTGAAATCCATATAAACTACATCAACTGCTCTACCTTCATCCACCCTCTCCGTTACTTCATCAAAAAACACTATCAGGTTTGTTAGACACAATTTGCCTTTAACAACTCCGTGTTGGCTGTGATTTATTAACCCATATTTAAGTGTTAATTTATCTTGTCCCAGATTATAGAATCTGGAAGTTTCCCCACTACTGACGTTAGGCTGACTGCCCTGTAGTTCCCAGGTGTATCTTTCTGTCCCTTTTTGTACAGGGGAGTAACATTTGCAACCCTCCAGTCCTCTGGCACACCCCAGTGTCCAAGGAGGAACGAAAGATTTTGGCCAGAGCCTCCGTAATTTTCATCTGTACTTCCCTCAGTAACATGTTTCCACTTGTGGGGGAGACCAAAACCAGGGGCCATAAATATAAAAATAGTCACCAATAAATCAGATAGGGAAGACAGATGAAACTTCTTTACCCAGAGAGTGTTGGGAATGTGGAACTTGCTACCACAAGGAGTAATTGAGGTGAATAGCAATGATGCATTTAAGGGGAAGCTAGATCCGTACATGAGGGAGAAAGGAATAGAAGGTCATGCTGATGGGGTTAGTTGAGGAAGGGCAGGAGGAGGCTCATGTGGAGCATAAACACCGGCACAGACCAGTTGGGCCAAACGGCCTGTTTCTGGGCTGTATAATCTATGTAATTGCATACAAAAGTGTCCCACAAACAGAAGTGACTTACAAACATACAACTGCGAAGCCCTCCACTGTCCGTACGCAAGTGCCAGGGAGCCTTCAAGAGAAAGAAAACAAAAATGAAATGATAACAATTTATGGTTTTATTTACGATGGCTTTCAGAATGTAAGCTTAGCTGTGAGGCTTGGAAGTACAGTTTCTACAAAAAAAAACTTGGGTTACTTCAAGACACAGCAGGTAGGGAGGGCATCAGTTGCAGCAGCCTTTGGCCATATCGCCCCTGCATGGCTGGTCAGTCTGCGTTTCGCAGGCACCGTCTTTCGGAGTTTTACAGGCCTTCGGGATGGACGATCCCAATTTATCTGCCAACAGGAAGGGGTTCAAATGGCAGAGCTAGGAAGCAGGAAAAAAAGGCGTGTTAATTCAAGTCATTGAAAAATGATAACTAATAATAATCCTTGCATTTGATATAGCTCCTTATCACGTCTTCACGACATTTCAAAGCGCTTCACAGGATACATTGCAAAGTGAATTGACTGTATATTTTGTGGGCGAAACGAGGCAGCCAATTGCGCACAGAGTGCCCCACAAACAGTCGTGATTGAAGTGACCAAATTATTATTTTTTTTGAAGGATTTATCTACCTCCCGGAAAAGCGATCTGCCAATCAACTAACAACTGGGTTCCTATTTACTGCGAGATGATTCTGGGCGTCTGACACATACGAAAACTCATCATAGTGCTTTAAGAGTATCAGAACAAGAGTTCCATATGTGTATGACACCTAAACAGGGAATATCCCCGTGTCTGGAATGAAATACAACCTTTCTCCCAGTTTTGTTTTTGTTTTTGTTGCAATGGACCCTGATCACCTAATTCCAGACAGTAATAGGTACAGGTTGGCAAGAGAAAAGAATTGGAAACTCCAGCATGTGCGTTGGGGGTAACTGCTGGGAGTTCAAAAACACTAAAACCCCATAGCTTTCCATTGAGAGCACTATCTGGCAAGCTTCCTGCTGTTTGTCCACCTAGGACCACCCAACTTGTTAGAGGTTTGGCTTGCAGGGTTAATCTCTACGACGGATCTGCCCCTTGAAGTCCTGCTAATAAACCAGGCTGGCTGGTCTGTCATCAGCAAGGCCCTGCAGTACTGCAGACCCACCTGTCTCATACAGGTGACACCTCTAAGTAACAGAATTCTGTCCAATTTTGTTACCAGCTATTTGTTGGCTCCCAAGTCAACAAGAGCTGGATAATGAATAATAACGCTTGGGTTTTATATATATAATATATAAATATAGCTCAGAAGATTGTGGTATGAAGCTCTCACCCATTCACTTTGAGATCATAGTCGTAGGCTTATGCTCCAGTACATTACATGGGTGTACGTGTGTGTGTGTGGTGCTAAACATCCCATGAGTTTCTCGCTCAGTTCCTGGATAATAACTCTCCAGATAAATTGGTCATTCATTTCATAGCTGCTTAAGAGTCATTGCTGCGCGCACATTCTTTGCTGTGTTTGCATGGTGACTGCTTCTGCAAACAAATTTGGGATAAAATTTCCATCTGCCAGCACCCACAAACAGAGATGAAATGACATCTCAAAGCACTTCACAGGATCTACTGTAGTTTAGTATTTTGGTGTCCTGTAGCTCAGTGGTTAGAGTACTCGCCTCGTATGCGAGAGACTTGGGTTCGATTCTCGGGCAAGGCGAAACGTTGGGCAAATTTCTTTACTTCAGACACCTGTTTACCCAGCAGTAAGTAGGAATCCGGTTGTTAATCAATCGGCGGATTGCTTTCCAGGAGTAATAATTCCTTCAAAAAATACTACTAATAAATTGGTTACTTCAATCCACGACTGTCTGTGGGACACTGCTGTGTTTAATTTGCTGCAACTTTCGCCCACAAAAAAGTCGATTCGCTTTACAGTGTATCCTGCGAAGCGCTTTGAGATGTCTTGAAGACGTGATAAGGCGCTGTATCAAATGCAAGGGTTATTATTATTGTTGTTATTATACATGGCAGCCAATTTGCACGCAGCAATGTCCCACAATAAGCCATGAAGTGAATGACCAATTGTAGCTGGAGTATCGTTAGCCTGGGCACTGGGAGAAACTCATTTCTCTTTCCTAATAATGTTGCGGAATCTTTCAAGGGCGCTTGGAACTTACTGTTTGCTGCTGAGGGTTGTCCTCCGTCGATTCCTCATGTTCAGCGCTGTGAACGTCAAAATGAGAGGCAAAGCGTGAAGATTTTAGCACTGTGGCCAGCTCCCCATCCACCGCCACGGCTTCATCCTTCTGCAAAAAGAAACAAGAGCAGGTTGAGGCAAGACCGGTGATTTAATGAGCCTAGCATTTGACAGAACCCTGAGACATCGCGAAGCATTATCATACATAATTGGAATCGTAATAATCCTTACTTTGGATGCAGTGTCTTATCAAGTCATTGAACCGTCTCAAAGTGCTTCACAAGCAAAGTGCTCGGAGCAATTGTGTGCTCTCCCGCACCAAACTCCGTGACCCCCAACTCCCCCACTCTCGCCCGACTCCATTGGTTCTCTATCCTTTAGAGGATCCAGTTCAAGATCCTGGTCCTCACCTACAAAACCCTCCATGGCCTCGCCCCACCCTACCTCTGTGACCTCCTAACACCCTACCAACCCACCCGCTCCCTCCGCTCAGCCGGCTCTGGTCTGCTCCACGTCCCCCGACACACCCGCCCCGCCATTGGTGGGAGTGCCTTCAGCCACTCTGCCCCCAACCTCTGGAACTCCTTCCCCCAGTCACTCTGTCCCGGCCCCCTCCTTAGCTTCCTTCAAGTCCCGCCTCAAGACCCTCTTCTTTGACCATGCCATCGACCACCCCCCTTCCCCTCCCCTCCCTTACCCTCTCCAACCCCAGCTCGGGTCTGAAATGCTGTACTCTGTCCAGCACCTTGGGACATCCTCCCAACGTGAAAGGCGCTATACAAATGTAATCTTGTTGTTGTTGTACAGAGAAAATAGAATAAAAGATCTACCGTCATCTTCTAATAAACTGGCAGATCAGCCTTGTAACACCACCAAGGTCCTAAAACCAATTTCTACTTTAGAAGCAGGAGGAGGCCATTCAGCCCCTCGAGCCTGTTCCACCATTCTATAAGACTATGCTGATCTGCACCTCAACTTCAATTATCCACCCTTGCCTAATTCCCCTGATACCCTGACCGAACAAATATCTATCCTCCTCCGTCTTGAAAATGTGAATGAATCCATCCATAATCCACAGCCTTTTGGTGGAGAGTTCCAGATTTCTACTACCCTGCCTCCTGATTTCACTCCTAAATGGCTTAGCTCTAATTTTTAGATGATTAAAATCGCTTGTTCTGGATTCCCCCACCAGAGGAAATACTTTCTCTGTAGCTGCCCTATCGAATTTCTTTATTATTTAAAAAACCTGAATCAGATTACCCCTCAACCGTCTAAATTCAAGGGAACACAGACCAAGTTTAGGCAACCTGTCCTCATAATTTAATCCTTACTTTAAAAGTGTGGATTGCATCAAACAGCAGCTGCTCTGGAAAGTCGGTGATAGTTCCTTTGTATGTAACCAGGGCTTTCTGATCATTCCTGGCTGTAGGGAGCTTGAAGAATCGATATGTCCCCGAGGCGTATTGCACATCTCCTAGGATTTAAGAAAGAAGAGCACGTGCAGTGAACAGGTCATGGTAAAGCAGACAGCAGTGAGCTAGACTGTAACAGTTCCTGAGGAGTTAGGCAAAGATGGAAGCCATTTTGTAGCCAGCAAGGTCCCACAAACAGCCATGATTTATTATTCTGGAGAATAATTATAATAATAATCCTTTCATTTGATATCGCGCCTTACCAAGTCTTCAAGACGTCTCAAAGTGCGTCACAGGATATACTGTAAAGTGAACTGACTATATTTTGTGGGTGAAACGCGGCAGACAATTACGCACAGCAGCGTCCCAGAAAAGTGATCAATTTATATTATTATTATAATATTGGGAGAAACTTCCTTCTCCACCCCATCTAAGGCTCCCACTCTGTCTCTATAAATTGTTTTTGTTCTGTATGAAAGGCACATAAGTTCAGGACCTCCAATTTCAGGATAGTCAGTGGGACAGAGGTGGGAATTCAGGAAATATTTCTTTACATAAAAGGCAATGAACATCTAGTACAGGTTACCACAAAGCATGGTTTACAACAGCAGCAACTTGCATTTAAATAATGCTCTTCACATGGTGTAGCATCTCCAAGGCAGAGAGGGCAGGGAAAGAAGAAGCAAGGCGATATAGGTTTGGGAGAGAGTTCGAGAGACGTGCAGAGTAGTAATAACAATAATGATCCTTGCATTTGATATAGGGTCTTCGAAACGTCTCAAAGCGCTTCACAGAATATACTGCAAAGTGAATTAACTGTATAGTTTGTGGGAGCAACGTGGCAGCCAATTGCTCACAGCAGTGTCCCACAAACAGCCGTGGATTGGGTGACTAATTTGTTTTTGTTGAAGGCTTTCATAATAATAATCCTTGCATTTGATATTGCGCTTTTCACGTCAGGAGGACGTCCCAAAGCGCTTCACAGAACACACTGTAAAGTGAATTGACTGTATATTTGTGGGCGAACGCGGCAGCCAATTGCGCACAGCAATGTCCCACAAACAGTCGTAGATTGAAAATTACCAAATTATTATTGTTTTGGGTTTTTTGGAGGGATTATTATTAGGCTCTGTGTGGAGTAAGGAAACTTGCCCAAGGTTTCACCCTCTGCCTGGAATTGAACTCAGGTCTCTCACTTGCAAAGCGAGTGCTCTAACCACTGAGCTACAGGACTCCACATTTTTTGCCGCAGGACAAGCGATCCACCAATCGACTAACAACTGGATTCTTACTTACTACTAGATAAACAGAGGTGTGTGTGTGTGGAGTAAGGAAACTTGCTCAACATTTCGACCTGCCTGTGAATCGAACCTAGGTCCTCTTGCTTGCGAGGCGAGTGCTCTAACTACTGAGCGAAAGGGAATCCTGTAGCTAAGGCCAGCAAGCAGAGCCCTGGAGAAATCGATCCTGAAGACTATCCATGAAGATACAAAAAACACTTACCAGTTTGTTTGAGGTGTTCGGGGTTGTAGATCACAATGTGACTGGCAGTGACTAGGTGCGGTGTGCTGAAACCCAGTTCCTTCACCATACTGATTAAATCCTTCCAGTACAGAGACCCTCCCAGCCCTTCTCCTGTCAGGACCAATAAGCACAAAGAATGGGGCCTCTTCTTGCTAGAACTTGGAAGAGCTCATCAACCACAACAAATCATATTTGCATAGCGCCTTTCATGTCAGGAGATAATCCCAATGCGCTGGACAGTCAGGGATTTGGACCCGAGCAGGGGGTTGGGATCAGGGAGGGTGGAGAGCAGGGAGGGTAGGGTAGGAGGCTGATGAATGCGCGATCGAAGAGGAGGATGAGGATTTTAAACTCTATCCTCTGAAGAGAGCCAGTGGAGCCGGGTGAGTGTGGGGGGTGATGGGGTCACGGAGCCTGGTGCGGGAAAGAACACGAGCTGCAGAGTTCTGGGCGATCTGCAGCTCATCGAGGGAAGAGCTGGGAAGACCGACAAGCAGGGAGTTGGCATAGTCGAGCCTAGATGTCATAGCAAGACACTGGTTATAATGAGAGCTGGAGGTTGAGGGACTGCGTATTTCTCGGGAGTTGAAGAGGTTAACAGATGATCTGATTGAGGTGTGTAAAGTAATGTCAAGGAATTGACAAGCTAGATAACTCTTCCCTCTGGTAGAGGCAGCAACAACAAGGAGTGTTAATGTTACAAATTAAGAGCTGAACGGTGTTTAGAAGTGAGATCACAAAACATTTCTTGACACATTAGAGGATTTTGAGAATGTACTGTCCCAGAAGGGGTAAGAGTCAAAATGAATTAAGATGTTTAAAAGGAAGATGGACAGATACCTAGAAAGTAAAGAGATTAAGGCTCACAGAGAAAAGGCATGGAAATGGGATTCAAAGATCTGGCACAATTTAATATACTGGCAGAAAGGACTGATTAAGGGACGCAAGGCCTGGTCTACGAGCAGCAATTAGATAAATTGGTCATCTTCACACTGGAGAAGAGAAGGTTGAGGATGAAATGATTGTGGTCTTTAAGATTCTGAAGGGACTTGATAACGTAGACCAGGATAAGCTGTTTTATCTTGTATTGAACAGTAGAACCAGAGGACATGGCCTGCGATTGATTGGGGGTAAATTCAGAACAAATCTGCAGAAACACTACTTTGGTGAGCGAGTAGTAAACCTATGGAACAGGCTCCCTAGGGGAGATGGTGGAAGCAGAAAGTTTCAACAACAAATGAGATAGATTTCTGCTAGAAAATAATATCTCAGAATAATACAGTATACAGTTTGGGACACGACATGTCAAGCGATTGCCAGGATGGTGGAAGGTGAACTAGATGGACCTTGGTCTTCTTTCACCGAGCAAATTCTTATGTCTCCTGTTCCTAGATTCCCACAATTGGCTGTTGTTTTTTGCATCTGGAGACCCATGTCTATTCACCAGTTACTCTTCTTCACCTTTTTATATACCTTTATACTCTTTATATAAGCTAGATTGTACAATCTTAAAGGGGGTGAAGGAACAGAGGGACCTGGGGGTTCATAAAAGTAAATTTTTGAAGATAGCACGCCAGGCAGATAAAGCTGTTAAAAAAGCATACAGGATACTAGGCTTTATAAATAGGGGCATAGAATACAAAAGTCAGGAAGTTATGATGAACCTTTAAAAAACACTGGTTAGACCACAGCGAGAGACTGTGTTCAGTTCTGGGCCCCGCACTTTAGGAAGGATGTCAAGGCATTGGAGAGGGTGGAGAGGAGATTTACCAGGATGGTACCAGGAATGAGGGACCTCAGTTATCAGGAGAGGCCAGAGAAACTAGGATTATTCTCCTAGTGGAGAAGGTTAAAAGGAGACTTAATAGAAGTTTTCAAAATTATGAGGGAGGTCAACAGGGTGAAGAAGAAGAAACTATTTCCTCTGGCGGGTGGGTGGGTAACCCGAGGACACCGATTTAAAATAGTTGTTAAAAGAAACATTGGGAGATGAGGAGACATTTTTTCACGCAGCGAGTTGTGCAGATCTGGAATGCATTGCCTGAAAGTCTGGTGGAAGCCAATTCGATAATAACTTTTAAGAGAGAAGTAGATAATTATTTAGGACAAGTTTCTAGGGCTATGATGAGAGTCCCGGGGAATGGGATTGATTCGGATAGCTCTTTTCAAAGTTACAAAGGGCTGAATTTCTCTTCAACTGTGCCATCACCTCCTCTCTCGACTCTCTACCCCCTCCTCGCTCCCTCCCCTCACCCTGACCAGTTTCCCCCTGCTCAGGTCCCGACCCGACTGTCCAGCGCCTTGGGACGTCCTTCCCAACGTGAAAGGCGATCTATAAATGCAATCTTGTTGTTGTTGTTGTTGAATGGCCTCCTCCTGTGCTCTATAATTCTATGACCTCACTCAAGTGGCTATTCTTCAAGTGTGAGCGAATATAGCAGGGTATCAGAACACAAGCCGAATATCACAGCAGAGTTTGGTGCTGTGCTCACTCAAAATCCTCAGCCACGCACATATACACAAAAAACACAGGCACATACACACATAGGCACATATACATGCGCGCACATACACGCACGCACATACATGCGTACACATACACACATGCGCATACACATGCACACATACACACGCACAGAGCTTTCAGCAGGGATAATACTGGAAAAAAAACATCTTCAACGGGGGAAGGCGCGCTGTCTGATTGTTACTCTCGCTAACCTAAGGGGACTCGAGACCAACTGCTGCCCTGACTGAGATCAACTAACTCAACATAGAGACTCTGTTCTGTGTGGGTCCAGTGCTGAACCTGTCACTGCTTTTGTCCATATGTTCGACGCGGAAGCTGCCTGCACACACACCTCAGTGTTTGACAGACAAAGCCCTGAGAGCAGATGACCTCTCATTTGGGGATGACATATGGAGGAGTGGAGCGGAGAGGCAGGGGGTTGGAAGAGAACCAATTCAAGAAGAAAGGGAGAACAATGGCAATTTTTCAAAGTGGGATGGAGCGGGCGGGAGTGGTCAGCAGTGTGGGAAGAAAAGAAAACATTCAATGTGTGTTTTACAATTAAAGAAAACGAAGACTGATCATCTAGAAATAGCGACATTCACAGCTAAAGTCTGACCAAAAGATCACGGTCCAAAGAACCAGAGGGGAGATGAGATGAGGAGAAATGTTTTCACGCAGCGAGTTGTTCGGATCTGGAACCCATTGCCTGAAAGGGTGGTGGGTGGAAGACGATTAGATAACAACTTTCAAGAGAGAAGTGGGTAGATGTTTGGGGAGGACAAATTTGCAGGGCTATGGGGAGAGCGCGGGGGAGTGGGATTCATTTGGACAGCTCTTTCAAAGAGCCGGCACGGGCACGACGGGCGGGGGAGGTGTATAGATGTGCTGTATAATTCTATGATTCTATGAAAATGGTGCAAATATGGAAGCGTCAGAGTGCGGTGTATTAGAGTTGATTGAGAGTACCCCAGAGCACAGGATCATGTCTTAGCTCCTCGGCTACTGGTTGGCTAGCGTACATGTCGCTGAAATACATCTCTCCGCCTTCCTGTGGGAGACAAAACATCACGGGGGCTGTTAAACCAGCAGCACGTGGACGGAAGGAGGGACTGAGGGACCGAGGGAGGGAGGGAGGGAGGGAGAGTATTTCTGCACTCATATCGATCTATCAACCTGTGACCTGCTAACCCCTTATCAACCTGCCAGCTTCCTCTGCTCAACAGACCGTTCCACCTCCCCCGCCCAGTCTGCCCCACCATTGGCGGCCGGGCCTTCAGCTTCTCTGTACACACCCTTTCGAATTCCATCCCACATTCCTTTCGCCTCACTCCTTCTCTTGCCTTGAAGGAGGCATGTACCAAGACCCTCCTCTTCGACCGTGCCTTCAGCCACCCTCCTACCCCTACCTTCCACCATTCCTTATTCCAAACCTCCACCCACTGCTTGGGTCCAAATCCCTGACTGTCCAGCGCCTTGGGACGTCCTCCCGACATGAAAGGCGTCACACAAATGTAATTTTGTATTGTACTGTATCAGATTCAGATGTGGTGAGGAATGGTATTTGAGACAATTGGGTCAGCGGATGTGTTTTCAAGCGCTACGAGATGCCGTCCGGAATGAACAGGGCTATATAAATGCAAGTTGTTGTTGTTGTGTGTTTGTTAAGAGACTCAGTTGGTAGCACTCTCGATAGCCTCTGGATCACAAAGTAGTGGGTTTAAGACCCACACCACCAATAATTTGCATCTATACAGCACTCTTCAGGCAAGAGGCAGTGTTTCGGAGCGCTTAACAGTGGTGGAGCCTGACGCCAAGCGGGGGTGAAGAGGGGTGGGGGGGAAGGGGGTTGTAATGAGGCGGTGACCAACATCAGCAATTGAGTTGATAGTTCAGGCTGACATTGCTGGAGGTGTTAAACTGAGATCCCATTTGCCTGCTCGGGTCCCTGTTAAATTCTTATATTGGAAAAGAATTTCTACTGTTGGAAAAGGGAGTTTCTCTGTTGTCCGAGTCGACAACCCTCAAGATGAATTGAATGGGGGTAAAAATCCTTTTAAAAAAAATGTGGTCACACCTGTTTGTTGGACACTGTTCTGCGCAATTGGTTCCCGTGTTTCACCCACAAAATATACTCAATTCACTTTACGGTGTATCCCGTGAAATGCTTTGAGACGTCTCGAAGACGTGGTAAGGCGCTATGCCAAATGCAAGGATTATTAGTACCATTATAAACTTGGGGCTCTTTGCTTTGTGCAAAATGTTTCCTTACAAAACCAGTCACTACCCTTGACAGTGACTACTGTATAGTGTTGAGATCTTTCGACTCGAGAAGGCGCTGTCAAACTTAATCTCTTTTTCTCTGCCTTGCTCGGGCTCCAAAAGCGTTGCTAGTTCCCAGCACAAAGGCAGGCAGGTATCGGGAGAGGAAGACGCCTCGATAACACGCTACCAACCTTCAGCACCCGATAGGCTTCCTGAAACACAGCTTTTTTGTCAGCGCAGAGGCAGATGACACAGTTTGAGCTGAAAGCGAGGAAAGAGATTATTGAGCTAAAAATACACTGGACACTTTCAATAAGTGTGTCCGAGGGCAGAATTGCTTTTATTTGTATGGGGCTGCTCCTGTGTCGTGATGTCGACAGACCCCAGGGTTGTCCCGGACTAAGAGTCCAAGCGAGACTTGCTTGTCTGAAAGCCTGGTGGGCAAAGGGTCCACCCCACCCATGGTCAGCTAACCCACCGCTAACAATACATCCTCCCAAATTGAAATGCCCTATATAAATGAGGTCCTGTAACGTATTGGTTACTGTATTCACCTCACAAGTGAGAGGACCTGGGTTCGATTCATGGGCTTGGAGAAACATCAGACAAGTTTCCTTACTCCTCACACACGCCTCCGTTTACCTAGCAGTAACAAGGAACCCGGTTTGTTAGTCGCATGATGGATCTCTTTTCCCGGGGGTAATAATCTCTTCAAAAAACAATAATTAAAAAATAATCATAATTTGGTCACTCAATCCACTGGGGGACACTGCTGTAATAGCGGTAATAATCGATTAAAAAAAATTATAATTTGGTCACGCAATCCACGACTGTTTGTGGGACACTGCTGTAAGCAATTGGCTGCCGTACTTCGCTGACGAAACATACAGTCAATTCACTTTACGGTATATTCTGTGAAACGTTTTGAGACGTCTCGAAGACGTGACAAGGCGCTGTATGAAATGCAAGGATTATTTCGATGATTGTTCTAATTATTATTCTTACAGTTGCGAGATCAAATGCAAGATCTATATTATTATTATATATATAATGGGACGTCCTCCCGACGTGAAAGGCGCTATACAAATGTAATCTTGTTGTTAAGATTGATAAGACGTGAGAAGGCGCCATATCAAATGCAGGCATTCTTATTATTATAAATGTAAAATTGTATTGGATTGCTGTGTAGCAATAATTTACATTTGTACAGTGCCTTTCAATTCGGGAAGAAGTTTAACTGATTCACTGGGATTGGCCTGTGGTTCTCAGTACGTACAACAGGGAGAGTTAATTTCTACCGCTTTCACTTGGCTCTCGTTCCCAATTTACTGTGTGAGTAAAGCGTGTGTTTTTGTCTACGTGTAGGTGAGCGCGTGCACATGCATTTGTGCTGGCATTTGTATGTGCGCGTGAGAGATTTGAGGACTTTAACCAAAAATCCGGTTAATCGTTGAAGGCGCAAGTCAAAACGATTTGGGGAGAAGAGTTCAGAAGAACTGGGGCATCGAGGCTGTAGGCCAGGCCTGCAATAACAACAAATTACATTTCTATAGTGTCTCTCACGTCAGGAGAACATCCCAAGGCGCTGGACAGGGAAGGAGGGAGATATGAACAAGCAATAAGCCAGTCAGAAAATTGGAGGGACTGTGCGGAGTGGGAGGGGGGGGAAAGAGGAGTAGGAAGATGGAGGGAAATTTAAAGAACAGGTGGAATAAGATCCCAGACAATGTCACTGAAGAGGACAGTATAAACGGGCTGGATGAAAAAGGATTGAGGGATAGAGTAAGTGGATGGGGTTCAACTCTATAAAATAAAATAAATTAAAAGTGTGATCCTCAATCTCCCGCTATTCCCAGACTCACATGAGAATGTCAAAGGCACCGTACGGGATGCCAGCTTCTCCCAGCTTCTCGATGTATCCCTGGACAAACTCCGTGTTCGAATCCTTGAATCCAAATTTCTCCTGATGGTAGGAGATGTAGCTACGAGCCACCTGGATCTGTGGGGAACACAATCGCGAAATAAGGATGTCTTCATTCACATTCGTCTCCTGATCTCAATTCATCCCAGAAATTACAAGTCATTGATCATCGATTGTTGTGTATGTTGCTGGCACAAATCAGTTGGTTTGCGGCTCCATAACAAGAATCATTTTATTTCTAATCAATTTCATTTCGTAAAGCCCTTTAAGAGGTTTCTTTTACAATGAAGAGGCTGTATAAATGCATCTGTATTATTTATTGCATTATATTACATTTATTACAGTGGAGTTCTGTAGCTTAGTGGTTGGAGGGCTCGCCTCACAAGCGAGAGGGCCTGGTTCGATTGCCGGGCAGGGGGCGAAACATTAGGCAAGTTTCCTTACTCCACTCGCCTCTGTTCACTGAGCAGTAAGTAGGAACCCGGTTATTGGTCGATTGGCGGATCGCTTTTCCGGGGGTGATAACCCATTCAACAAAATAATAACAATAATTGGGTCACTCAATCCGTGATTGTTTGTGGGATACTGCTGTGGGCAATTGGCTGCAATGTTTTGCTCATAAAATACACAGTATATTTTGTATTCTATATTATAGAATATATAATTAGGCGCTATATCAAATGCACGCGATCCTCCAATCGACTAACAACGGGTTCCTACTTACTGCTAGGTAAACAGATACGCGTGTGTGGAGTAAGGAAACTTGCCCAATGTTTCGCCCCCTGCCCGGGAATCAAACCCACGTCCTCTCGCCTTCAAAGCGAGTGCTCTAACCACTGAGCTACAGGAATCTCCAGGTAGTGAATCATTCCCAGTTATCCTGCCTGGAGAGTGCAGCACCAAACGGGATTGATTGAGTCAATTCCCTTCACACAGCATGCACTTCATTGTCTTACTAGTTCGTCAGTCATGTCCACTCCAGTCACGTGGCCAGAGGGTCCCACCAGTTTGCTCAGGGCATAGCAGTCTCGGCCAGAGCCACTCCCCAGGTCCAGTATGCGGCATCCCTCCAGATTGCTTGGGATCACCAGTCCGCAGCCAAAGTACCTTGCGAGGGATCAAGTGGAGACAGACAGCGAGAGAGGGCACGAGAGTGAGAGAAATAACTCACATTCTTATCGCACCTTTGCTATCACGTCAAAACATTTCAAAGTAAACTGTAGCAAGCATCGTCGAGCGTAGTGACAGTTTATGTCGTTAAATGGGGGCGGATCTGCTTGACGCAGGAAGGACCCAAAGACCGCAATGAGTTGAATGAGTACAACAACAACGAATTACACTTGTATAGCGCCCTTCACGTTGGAGAGACATCCCAGGGAGCTGGGCAATGCACACTCTGGGGTCCCCAAGCCTTGGCTCTTGCCAATCTGCGCCTAATACCTAATACATAATACAGAATTGGATCAACGGAATCTCCAACACTCTGTCTCTGGAATTTCCATGTGTAGGTGGGAAGCAATGAATTCTCACGTTGGTTTGGATTCTCTTAGAACAATAACTAACAACAACAGCAGGATAGCGTCTCAGAGCGCTTAACAGTGGCGGAGCCTGACTCCGAGCCGGGGGAGGTGGGTGACCTTAAGCACTGTGAAAGGGAAAGAGGCGGTATACCATGTCAGCACGAGCTCAGTATCCACGCCGTCACAAAGCCAAAACATGGGGACTTTCTTAG